TCTTGTACTAACCTGTGAAGGTGGCGCCTTGTTGCATGTACACCGAAGACGAAGCTGGAGCTATGGCGCCACAGGTAAGTCTCCCTAGCCGCCGCCAATCATCTCTCTCTCTCCAACGCTACTCTAGCTCCTAATAGCGCCCAGCGCTGAAGACTACTGCTAACGCTACTACTACTACTGCAGCGCTCCTCCAGAGTGCTGCTGCCGAATCCTGAAGACTACCTCCTGCCTCCTGCACGTGAAGTGCCTGGGAAGTCCCCTATGAACTACCTGCAGCCTGCAGGGAAGGCCTGTCCTTTTTAGTGCTGGCCCGTCCAGGAGGCTGCTCTTGCCAATGCCAAAACGTGCCAGACCCTGGCGTTGAAGTTCAAACAAAGGTTGTCTTGAAAACAGGCCCAAAATGGCCTGTGCTAAAACCCTGGTCTGGTGCCTAAGTTTCAGGGCAGGTCGATCTTATGAGGACCTGAAAATGGCCCTCCGTTTCAGGCTGAAAAGACTCGGGGCCTGGAGGGCCCTTTTTTAGGTTGAAACGACACAGGGCCTGTAGGCCCTTGTTATCAGGCTTTCAGGCTGAAACGACACAGGGCCTGTAGGGCCTTTATTTTCCGTCTGGTCGGGCCCCGCAGGCCCGTGTCGCTGCGCAGTATGCCACCCCCCCCCCTCCTTGGAAGACCGAGCTTACCTGCAAGGTCGAAGCTGCCTGTCGGAGGCAGGGACCAAGGTCCGGGTGGGAGGGGCAGGTTGTGAAGCTTTCTTAGCTGGTCTTCGTCGATCGTAGTCGCGTAGATAAGTGGTGTAGATGCTGGCAAATCTGTTGGTGTCCAGAATGTCGAAGGACACGGCCTCACTTGCATGTGGGGCGAAGTACACGGGGATGGAGTCAATGCACCGGTCGATTGACTTGTGCGTGTGACCGTCTGCCAACGTGACTTGCGTGGGCTGCGACTTCCTCCGAGCGCGTGGCCCCAGGCCAGCGCGTACCAGAAAATCTTGGCTCATATGGTTGCGAGTAGCGCCGCAATCGATCAAAGCGCTGCAGGTCACCTCTCCAGTCTGAATGCGTATGTACAACAATGGCGCGTCGATGTCGTCGTACCGTTGTGTCTTGAACTCGTGGTCGATCTCCGCAACGTAGTCGTGAAGGTCAACAACCTCTACTCCGGCGTCCATCAACGGAGCTGGTACCGCAGTGTGCAAGTAATCCCGCAATTGTGCCTTGAGCACGTTGCAATGCGGTTTCGGTAATCGACCGGTCGGGGGAACGGGCATCCATTGGAAGTTCGCGAACGTTAACAGCCGAGCTCTTCAAGTCTTGACCATGACGTCGAATCCCCGGTGATAGATGGCAGCGAAGCTGCCGAATCGGTTGCCGATGGTGGTGAAACCGTGCATGCGGTGGATTGTTGCACGTGGAGTGGTTGGTCCAACGGTGGGACCAAGTCGACAGCGTAATCCTCGTAAGATTACCGAGGACTTGCGACATGCGCCTCCTCCCCAGATGTGTAGGAGGCCGCTAGCAAGGCAGCCGAATCTGGCGGCGATGCGGTCTTCGCCTTCCCTTTTCCCTGGGAGTTTTTGTTGCTTTGCGGCTGGACGACAGCCACCTGATCTCCCTCACGTGATGTTGGGGTAGCTGCCGGGCTTCCACAATGTTGCCCGGTTGGACTGTAGCGACATGCTGCGGACGCGGACCAAATTTTCCCTTATCCACATGGGCTGGCTGCCACGCTGACTTCTCGTGTGCAGCACCCCGGTTGGTCTTGATGATCTCACGTGCCTTGTCGATGATGTCGGCAAGATCGTGTACTGTTCTCGATCACCAAGTGCAAGGCTCAAGGCGGCACATGACCGGTTGTAGAACTCCTGGTGCAGATGCGAAAATGACAACTCGAGATCTTTTGCCAATCGGTGAGTCAATCGTGTGTCGGTGTGTGGCCTTGAGTCATGGTGAAGAGGCGGTTGATGGCAAGCGTCGGGCTGTCGTCAACGATGAACCGCTTCTTCCATAGCCTTGTCAGCTCTTCCCAAGAGAGCTTTTTGTTCAGGTCGGCCCCTTAATGTCGTGGATGGTTGCCAGGTCGCTGAGCCAGATCTAGCATCCGCCCGTGGTGTTGAGGAACAACGCCGCAATGTACGAGTGTTTGGGGACGTGGCGAATCCGAAGTTCCGTCGTAAAGCCCTCCCACCAGGGGACCGGGTCTTGATGCGTATAGTCGTCAAACTTTTTGATCCGGAATATCGGCATCTTGTAATGTTGCAGACTGGTGCTGCCATCGTTATCGAGAGGCTGGTGCAATTGTCGAACATCGTTCTTGAAGGCGTTGAGCTGGTCGCTGATGGTGGCGGGTGCGGCGAAGGTGCTGATGTCGCCGAGCATTGCGACTACATGGTCCACTCGTTCCTCCAATTGGCGGGTTGAGGTTGCACTTCTGGGTTCGCCAGCGTCTGGTCCTGGTGCTGCTTGCTCCAGGTCCTGTACACGGGAATCAAGTGCCCGTGTAGGACCCTCGTGCAGATCCTTGTGGTTCTGCACCGCCCGTCGGAGATTCGTCAGTTCCTGGTGTTGTTTTCGTAACTCGGACTGCAGGTGGTTACAAGTGTAAACCAACTGGGACACGAGTTTGGAGATGAACTCCTTGTGTTGCTGTTCCGGTTTTGCGCCGTCGTTGCCCGCGGATGGTTCGAAATGCCAGAACTTGAGTTGGTGGCTTCGTGCCGCAGTAGCAGATCCTGGCCTTCCTTGAGGCGGGCCTGGGTATCTGCGTCAGCTGCGGCCTGAAGCCGCTGCTGCTCAGCTGCTGCCTTCGCTTCAGCCTGTAGGCGGGCAGCCTCGGCTGCCTCCTGGCGCCGTTCCTCAGCCTCGATTCATGCGAGCTGAGCTTGGAACCGCTGTCGATAGTCGGCAATGGATTCGCTGGCCAGTTGGCCTGGCATGCCCAAAGCAGAAACCATCATGGTGGCGGGGCACTGCTAACGTGGTACTGCTGCTGTCATTGCACTGCTACTGTCATGGCACTGTTGTCGTGGCTTTGCAGACGTGGCACCGCTGTTGACGTGGCACTGCGACTGTCGTGGCATTGTTGACGTGGCATTGCTGCTGACATGGCACTGCTGTTGTCGTGGCACTGCTGACGTGGCATTGCTGCTGACGTGGCACTGCTGCTGACGTGGCATTTTACCAAACCAGAATGCAGGCAAAGGGTTGGGTGGGAGGGAAAACGCAGGAAGGTAACCAACCAAACTGTACTTTCCTCCCGGTCCTAATCAACGGAATAAAATAAAAATAAAAAAAATAAAAGAAGAGGATCCCCCCCCCCCTTTTTTTTTTT